TGAAGTTTTTTCTGCCACTGAGCATGTGACGTGGGAGGAGCAGGGTGACCTCTGAAACCACAGTGTGTTTGCAGAGCAGGGAACAAATCCTCTGCTTGCAGAAGCATGACTTGATGCTTTGTGGGCTTGTCCTACATAGGCAGGTCTGTCCAGCTCCCTCCAGTCTCAGCTGGCTTTGCTAGGGAACCTCTGAGAGAAACAACAGCTTAACTGCTGCAAAAGTGGCCACGCAGCTCTTGGGACACCCACTCTGACCAACCCCAAACAAATCCAGTGTCATGTCAGACTTTCAGTCATTGAGAAGAGAGAAATGGTCACACAAAGTGGCTCCTTGAGACATCTGTAAAAGCCAGGCAAGAAAGGCAGGGCCTGCTCTGCAGGACATTGCTGAACTTCAGCAGCTCTTCTTTGCCTCAGCAAACTGGAGTTCCTGAACAACTGGGCTGCCAACTCACATGTCTCAGACTCCAAGGTAACTGTGGCAGGTACTGAGGCTCTTTTAGGTTGCACCTCATCTTCCCAAACCTCCCTGGAGCACCAGAGCAGCTTTTGCAAGGCTGTGGGCATAGCCCAGTCTCATCTCTCCTTGCCTGACTGGGGCCCTCCTGGTTTGCTGCCTTCTCCAGATGTTGGGAGACAGATTCCCAGTTTGATCCACTAGACAGGGAAGTGCTATGAAGTCATGTCAGGTGGTGAAGGAAGGGGAAGAAGCTCTAAGCATTCCTTGGGGTTTTCCTGTTTTCCAGAGCTCATCATCACTGCAGGAGGTGAGAATGTTCCTCCTGTTCCAATCGAGGATGCTGTGAAAGATGCTGTTCCCATCATCAGCAATGCCATGTTGGTTGGGGACAAAGCAAAATTCCTTTCTATGCTCCTGACACTAAAGGTAATGGAAAAGAGGTTGGGAACCCACCTGAGTCACTGAATGTGTTTGATTCCAGTGAGGAAATAATTGTTACACCGTGTTCCAAGATCATTTACATTGTCTTCTGGAGACAGGAGGCCCTGAGGAGCATGATGTGTTGTAACTGTCTGAAAAATGAGCATTGCCATTTGATCAGCTCAGCAGGTCCTTCTGCTGTGCAGGGCAGCTGGTTCCCTCTGCACCACACAGGGCAGAAGGAAGCAGAAGACCTAAAAATGAGACTGAAAAAAAGAAACTCTCATGCTTCTCTGACCCATTCTCTGTGTCTCTCAGAGCAGCTGGGTCAGGAAGGACCTGCCAGTGATTTTAAGGCACTCGCTTGAATCTCTGCAGTTCTGCATCTGTGGGGCCTGGGCTCAGCTCTGCCCAGATCCCTTCCAGGCTGGTGGTTTCTCAGGATTGTGGTAATTTCTTGTTTGCAAAACTGAGATCCAAGTTCCTTGCGCTTGGGCAGGAGATGCTGAGCCAAGCCCTGGAGGCTGTGGTGCTGAGCTTTTCTTCAGAGAATCACAGAGTAGTTTGGGTCTGAAGAGACCTTAAAGATCATCCAGTCCCACCCCCTGCATGGGCAGGGACACCTCCCACCAGCCCAGGTTGCTCCAAGCCCCATCCAACCTGCCCTTCAACACTGCCAGGGATGGGGCAGCCACAGCTTCCCTGGGCAACCTGGGCCAGGCTCTCACCACCCTCACACTCCACAATTCCCTCCTCATGTCTCACCTCAATCTCCCCTCTCCCAGTTTTCATCCATCCTCCCTTGTCTTTGTCTTGGTTGGGTGCCACGTGTTGTGGCTTCCACCAGACTTTTCCACAGCTGTGGGATGCAGGGAAATCAACTGTGGCTCAGAGAAAAAGGTCCAGAAAAAACGGGATCAACTTGGGACAGCACAGGAGGAGCTTGGCAGACAAGCTCTGTACCCCAGGTGCTCCTTGAATATGTGGGGATCTGAGGGGATTCATCTGCATTTTGTCTCAGTGTGTTTTCATTTGAAGCAAATTGGTTTCCATCAGGAAGGTTATTGATGAACTGGGGTGGAGAAGGGGAAGGGGTGGGCTGGGGAAGGGGATGGGGCAGCTTCCCCTGGGCTGTGGGGCTCGTTAGCATGAGGGGGAATCAAGCGTTTCATTACCTGGTGTGAATTGTCTTGCAGTGCAATGTAGATGTAGAGACTGGGGAGCCAGAAGATGATCTCACTCCAGAAGCTGTTGAGTTCTGCCAGAAGCTGGGCAGCCAGGCAACCAGAGTCTCCGAGATCATCAGCACCAAAGACAAGGCTGTTTACGCCGCCATCCAGAAGGGGATTTCAACAGTCAACGAGGGAGCTGTTTCCAATGCACAGAAAGTCCAGAAATGGATTATTCTGGAAAAGGACTTTTCTCTCACTGGTGGGGAGCTTGGTGAGTGCTGGGTGGGACACTGGGGTCACCCCCTCAGCCCCTCCTTGGATGATGAACAGACCCAACCAGGAACCCAATGCATAGAGCTACCCCTGGCCCTTCCTTCCTGTGGCTTTTCCATGTAGTTTTGAATCATGGAATCCCCCCCTCAGCCCCTCCTTGGATGATGAACAGACCCAACCAGGAACCCAATGCATAGAGCTACCCCTGGCCCTTCCTTCCTGTGGCTTTTCCATGTAGTTTTGAATCATGGAATCCCAGGATGGTGAAGGTTGGAAGGGACCTTCAAGATCATCCAGTTCCAACCCCCCTGCACAGGTAGGGCCACCTCCCACCAGCCCAGGTTGCTCCAAGCCCCATCCAACCTGCCCTTC